TCAAAGTGAATGGGCAGAAGCGTTGAAGCGGCAACGCACGCCGCCGTGTGTAGGAGCCGTAAGGCATGGAGACATGTCACAGTAGAGGCACAGCATACTACAGCATGTCCTCTTTAATTCCAGTGATTGATAAGTAGCAACATAATACACAACATTTTCATATTTTCTAATGGATATGTAATGGTCACACAGCACAGCACCCTTACACATATTTTACACATCCTAGTGGGTTAAATGCAAATGGGTTATACACAGCGCCTCGGAGTCTGGTGCCTTGCTCAAGAGGCTAAAGGGTACCTCAAATACCACTCTACACTTCATACTTGGTTCGTTCTGGGACTTGAACCGACGACCTTCCAGTTCCCAAGCCAATTCCCACAGACTGATTTCCTAGAAAGCATTAGTCCTACCCAGGTCCTTGGTGACATCATAGCCCCGAGTACCCCATTAAAACATTTCTGTGTGATTAATTATCCCAATAGCCAATACCACATTCTAATGGCCAAATCATTTTGTAATCAGTGTTCAGCATAATAAAAGCAATCACTGGAAATGTCACCATCGCCGTTATTGAAGGACACACACATTAAGCCGGTTGGGGGGAAGGTGAGGGGGCAAAAAGAGGATGCCCCCGAACTACTTCGTTTACACAAACTTTGTTTTCGGCCTCTATGCATCAGAGCCCTCTCCCTCCGTCTGCCATCTGCTGCTGAAGAATCTGTTTCACTCGATGAGCCAAGCCCAGCCTTTATTGGTCCTAATGGCACTATCAGCTGAGCCGCCAAACCCAATTACCTTTTAAAAAGGGAGGCCACCCCAGCTAATCATAGCTGCCTAACCTGATTTGCCTGTGATGAAGAGACGGGATAAAGAGCAGTTAATGGAGGGAGAATGATCTCACAAATACAAAAAACTCAATTCATTTCTCCGGGAGAGCAATCTGTCCGATTCAGCGGTAATGGAGTGGAGATTCATTAGTCCTCGGGCCTTAGTAGTAGCACCGTTCCCTTATCAACTGAATGACAAAGGAACATTCAGGGTGCTCCTCTTATACACTTCTTGTTAAGGGCGCATTGTTACAAGAATGGTTACTAAAATAGGATCAACATTGGGTCTACATGCCATTTGTCAGTTCTTCAATGGTGAAAGACTGATTTCATTGTTTCCAAATGCAAGTGTTATTTGACATTACTCTTTTTAACTAAAGCAATAACTGTCTGGACTTGTACAATTCATAAATCTGTATGTACTGTTTGCTTTGTTTGCTTCTTACTTGTGTTAGAACACCAACAAAGGTTTCAGACAAATTTGGTAACATTATATTTCCGGTGAAGTGATTTTTAGGTCAGCTTTTTCTAATGTTGAAGTCAGAGTAGTTACCATGGGTCATTTCAACTGTGTATCCATCCACGGAAGATCACTGCCTCCAGAACAAGACATGGACTTTTTGGGATTCAAGTGTCTGTTAGCAAAGATTAATTGATTGCCCATGAAAGAATCTCAAAGGTCTCATCATTCAGTATCCAGGCCTAAACTGGAGCTACATGTCAACTGAAGACATCCAACATCCGCTGCAGCAGACTCCAGTCTCATTCACACGCATGTTCCCCTCACGATGTAAGTGACACACATGAATGACCAATTGATGCCAAGAATGTCGTGCAGGGGATGAGTCACAGAGAGCATGGGGCCAAAGACATAGATGACCCGACCCCCAACCCTTCTGAGTCCACACACCACTGCGTCTCCAGCCCAGATATGATCCAGAGGACGTCGGCGAGATGGAGCATAGGGCCATAGCCAGGGTTTGCAGACGGACATTAGGCCAAAGCCAGAGTTAAAATCCTATTAGTTTGAGTTGGGAATCGGATTATCGTCGTCGAGAATCACTCGTCTGGCAACTAGTGTCTAATTTACGCCAATCAACAGCAATTATTGAGGGGAAGGGAGCCCCTATTAGAGAGCCTCATCCACTTAGTCTAATGAATGGGGAAGATTCAATCTTGGCTGTGGAGACGCATTGGAGAGCTGCAGCTGAACGCGACTGCACCAGCAGGCTAAAGCAGAGCTGCTGTTATTTATCAATGGTGGGGGGCTGTCAGAGCGTTAGCCATGGGGCACTGGGCTCTGGTTTCTGATGGTCTGGGGGCACTCTGGCCAGTAAAGCTGTTAGTGTGGCTCTCTACAGCCCATTATGTGTATAGCCTACTCGGAGAGACATGTATCGGGGCATCGTGTGTTATGGCCTGACAGCGGGATGTTTTATTTCCCATCATAAATCAGAAACTATAGGCAGTCTATTATGTTCACTTTAGAGAAAATGTTAGGTCCAACATGCACTCACTGGGTATACAAAATACTGTGAATAGCATTTATTGTAGCCAAATACATTCTAAAGGTTTGTGCGATACTAAAAAAATGTGAGGTATTACTCTTGTTTAGTAAAAAAAAAAAGTTTGAATACTTATTTAGATCCTCACTGTGTTATTTTATTTTAAAATGTCCATTTCTCTTTTCATTTTACAAAATGACAGTAACTTAAAGTGAACCGAAAACCGAGGGGAATTGTTTTAACTTTTGTAGTATGTGGCAGTCTTTAATGTGGGGAACAATATATTTTTTATGTCACCTACCCAACCCTGACTCATTATCTTCTCACTTTAATTTCCCTCATTAAAAAAAGCACTTAACACTGAAAACATCCACATATTAAACATGAATCATAAAGTGTGAAGTAACCATCAGTTGGTGCTTCAGACTTTAGTGTATGTCCATTCTTACACTGCCCTCTAGTGTTGGGAAGGTGAAAATCAGTCGTAGATGAACTGTGACCTATACAAATAGCCTTTAAAATACAGACACATCAAATGTTAGGTGATAGATATACTGTTCCTTAAAAAAATGCATATTTCGATGGTATTTGGAAGACTTAAACAGTGATATTGTCAAATTGGTAAAGTGTTATCAGTCTCTTAATCTGCTGTCGTGGGTGGTAGCAAAAATAACTGCAACTGCAGGTTGATATAGATATACATGATGCATGAGCAAGTGTTTGTGCTTATCTCCAATTGACATCAGATCCTGTATCATGACCTCTGGTATGCAAGTACTCTTGCTCTAATTTGCAGTGCCTATATATTCTTTCTTTTGCAATTTATCAAAAAAAAGAGCTTTCCGCCTATTTGATATTAATGGTGAGGTCCTGAACATCTCACGCTTTGGGGGAAATCCCTTTAATGTTTTTCTGTTGGGGTTCAGCTTTTCCAAATTGGTGAGAGGATGCATCAAGTTATTAATAACATCAAATATTTCCATTCATGAGGGTTTCATTTCCGATAAAGACTCTTGTAATCTTTCCGTATCCTAATCTTACACCTGCACATTAGACTGATAACCTTTTCAACTCTTATCTTAAGTAATTATGCCTTCATGATATTTAACACATAATGTGGAAACATGCATATTTGTTGTGTCTATTTCCAAACACTTTCATCCTACATATATCGTTATTTTTGGCTTATTCTGAAACAGTTCAGATCAAATTAAAACGTTATTATTAACTCATTTTGTACTTTATAAGAAAAGTTTGTTATAGTATCAGCTAAACCCAAAATGTATTTAAAAAACACATATTTAAAGTGACCATTCCCAAAATATAAATAGTTTGTGCAAACGGTGCAAACATGTGAATCATAAATGAACTGCCGAAATCTCCACACATAAAGACAACACAACAGCTTCATTAGTGGGAACACTGGTTTGTGGTTGAGGCCACATGCTCAAAGTCAAGTGACGTAACTTTTTCCTTTATATTAGCTGCTTATGTGAAGATTAACAGGAAGTGGAGCTTGCTAACTCATTTCAGACCATGTCTTTTCCCTTTTCAAGTGTGACTGATCATAAAAATAATTCAAGCTCTGTCCCTCTGTGGGAGTGTAAAAGCATACTTTTTCCTGTGGTGACCTTCACTGCTCGTTGACTGTGGGTAGCTTGTTCCGTTTCACTTTTACGCTCTCATAGTTGCTTCTCATTGCCCCCAGTGAAAGTTCAAGGGGGGAAATTAAAACGGGCGACAGTAGCCTTTCATAACGACCCTTTAACATACATAGGTTTCATTTCTTGCTGTTGCCTGTCCACATTGACCGTCAAGCCCCTAACCACAGCCGCCCCCTCACACTCAATGCACCTCTTTATGCCATAATGACACTTTAGACAGTAATAGGGTTGGAAAAAGATGCAATGACGTAACCAGCACACAATACCAATTGAATATTTTGTAATCATAAAGCAGTGGACATAAACCTTAAAGCAGTGTTCTCAGATTTGTGCAGGTCCATGCACCCCTTAAGCTTAATCATTGTGATACATCTTTAACAATATTGCAGGAACAACTGTTAAATAAGGAGCTGCACTTTAAATGTTATTCATTTCAACTTATTTACGTATTTTCCCCCTGGTCATCCACCTGTGTGCAATGGTCCTATAACATCAGCCAATTTAAGATAAGATAAGATAGTACTTTATTGATCCCAATTTGGGACATTTTAGTTGTATTATACTTTGTTCATTCATTTGTTTATTCGCTTACTACAGAACCTATCTCCAGTAGGATAAAAGGATCAATACCCCTCACATCTTACACAGTAGGCTAAGGTATAGCCAACAGCAATTGGTTAGCTTAGCATAAAAACAGGAAACAGGGGGACAGTATATGTAACTTTCTGAAGTCTTGTTATCACTGTCAAGTTGCCAGAAATACTCCACTCCAAAAACTCTCTTATTGGCAACATTTTATAATCTTGGGTATGCAAAAGTTTTCCTTCAGCTCTAAATTATGCAGATTATATCCCAAAAATAGAACATGTGGTAACTCAGGTGACATTAGTGACCCATTTCCATTGTCCCCTGCAGGCAGAAACGAGAAAAGAAACAGTCCCACTCCCACATTTGCCCTCGCCAGCATATGACGGTGAAATAAATGACAGATAAATGAGGAAACCATGACTAAGAAGGTACCGCATTTGAAGGGACAAAATAACAACTCATACATGACATCATTGTGTTTTTGTGGCGGTGCCAGATTAAATCTTTAATGTTAATGACAAGTCAGATATTGCACAGATATTGCCCAAATTAAACATAGGCTAGGGTACATATTAAGTGAGTTTCTTAACTATATTTTTGTATAACAGTAGCCTATACAACAGTGGTGAACCGTGTCTATCACAACTGGACCTTCTGTAGACACACACAAAGTTAATTTAAGGTCGTTTTAATCTCTTTAGTTTAATCCAATGTTTGAACGTAATCTAAGTAACAAAGCAAAGCAAAAATAACCTATGATCAGCTGGATACAGTGTCTGTTGTTGCTATTGTGTAAATACTAGCAACTGTCCCCTGACCTGCCTGGTCATTTTGCATTTGTCATTTTGCATAAATTAAAAAAGCGGGAGAGTTAAAAAAACAAAAAAACATAGGTGACAACATACAGTAAGTGAGTGTACTTTTGGGATCCTGATCTGGGGAAATTCCTGGAGTATTACTCAAAGGACCAAAATAAAATGACTTCACTGAAGGTAACTAAAATGAGTTCATGCTGACACAGGTTGCATGCAAGTCTGCAGATATTCAAAAATAGTAGTGTGACTGTGAATGTAGGTTATGTCTAAGAGGAGGAAGCTGCTCCTGTGTACCGCCATACCACAATTGTCAACGTGTCAGTGGCGGGGGGAGGTGAGAAAGGAAGCCCCTTTCTGTTTACCTCCCACTTCAATGTTTCATAACTTACACTGAGTTCTATCGGAGCAAAACCTAACGCACATATATTGGGCCTTAAAGGTGCCCTGAATGTTGCAGTCTAAAAGACATAGGCTACAGATTTCGAGAGAACAAAGGAAATTAAGCACATTTCAGTGTACTCCAAAACGTAGTTTGTTACAATGGTTTTACTTCCGCCCTATCTTCTCAATCTAGTTGCTGACATATTAAGATGTTTACACATCTGCAGGTCTAAAATGCTGCTGTTATAAATGTCCTTCTCCATTGGCAATGCATTTACAAGTGCTTTAATCTGGCAAACTAAAAAACGCTCTTTGCTGAGAATCTGCTGTAGCTTGCTAAATTCTATTAGAAATGCATCATTTTCATTGAGAATCTGAATCAGCAGAGAAAGTTAACTAGTAACCTAAATTAATAAAGTGGAGCAAAAAGTACAATATTTCCCTCCAAATTGTGCGACTAGAAATAGGCTGTAAAGAGGCATATAACATTGAAATACTCGAGTACCTCAACATTGTAACCTAGTTAAATACAATACTTAGTTACTTTCCACCACTGCAATTCATTCAGAGAGGGTTATCAATGTTCTTACCAAACATCTTACAAACCTCACTTGTATTTAAAACCACAAAAGCACCTTCATGGTTCTGGATGATAACTCTACTTGGCCTAAAACCATGCATAGGCTCCATCTAAAGGTTGCAAACTCCCGAATAAATGGCTTTAAAGCTTTTGCAACAACGAACGACTTCTGGAGAGAGATTAACGTGCAACTTTTGTAAACATTCTAATCGTGCAACCTGTAGTTTCGACCTGAAACACTGATAAAAAAAAATTCTAATAAAATCAGCGTCCTCAATTTTCCAAACCGCGTAGGTCATCATCTTAGCAAATGATCTCTGCACGTCTCTAAACCATGCTCTAAACGCCACGCAGCAGGCAGGTATCGAGTTTCACGTCAACGGTGAGAGGACACTTTTAATCCGTTAAAACCGGTTAAAACATAATACAAACGGATGGAAAAAAAGGATATGTTTCTGTTTGTTTTTTTAACCTCAAACATAAGCGTAATAGTGAGAGTTCGCCGCAAATTTGCGTGTGGAGAGGTTTAATTTCGACAGTTAGCTTAACAACTGCACGAGGTCAAGTAGCATGTATTTCTTTTTATTTATTTCTTTTTTAACCCCGCTTACAAACTTGAAAGATATGTTAATGTGACACAATGCCTTACTTTTAACAGTGATTTACAATAGTAGATAGAGTTAAAGGAACTGTAAATTAAAGTTTAACGTGTTGAGTGTTAGCTTAATGGACATCATAGCAAGTCCCTTTGGCTACAGTAACGTAATACTTGCACTTTAACTTCAGTATCCTTTTGAATACAGGACTTTTACTTTGTAACATATTCTTACACTTTAGTATTTCTACTTTCATTTTAGTACAAGTTCTGAGTACTTCTTCCACTTTTGTTCAGTAATTGGACGCTCTTGAACCCTTTTTAGGAGCCATGCATGTCTAGCTAGCATGTCTGTTCTTGCCAGTATAATTTGTCTTTGTCTTTTCTTTTCAGCAATTAAAGTTTTCAGGATGTTTCAAGCCCGTGGGTCATTTCAAGGTTCCAGAGGTACCCGCTTTGCACAAATGCTCATGGAGAATATACCTGAGGCATCAACACAGACTGAACCATCCAACCCTGCCGCAACGTCAAATCAACCAAGCAAATATACTTCTTACAAACAAGGGAAGGGTTCGTATAAAAATGGTGAGTATAAGAATCTCATTTGCTTGTAACCTTAATGACTGTAGCAACATCTTTGACCCATCGGTTTTTATCAAAATGAACAAATCTGTACTGTAGATTTTGTTTTTATCTGCTCTTTCTGCCCTGTTCTTATTTCACCAACAAAGGTTATGCCAAACCAACAGCTTCACCTAAAACACTGATTGAAATATACAAGCAAGGTGAGACAAACGCCATCTCTTTGATCCATCAGCTTGCCCAGGTTTTGCAGTTCCACTTGGAGATGAAGGAGACAGTGACTCCAGGTACAAATACACCACTCGACATGTTTGTGAGCCTTCAGATATACTTCAGAGACCACTTGTTTCATTCATTTTCATTGTCATGTGACAATGAAAATCTTAGGTCACAGGCTCCTCCAACAGTGCAACACAATAAAACGTATAAAATAGTTCAAGTAAATAAAATACAATTGAATATACAGTAATAGAAACAGAATATGATAGAAACTGTGCAGAAGAGTATATACACAGTAATTAGAATATTGCTATATGATATACAGGACTGTCTCAGAAAATTAGAATATTGTGATAAAGTTCTTTATTTTCTGTAATGCAATTTAAAAAAAAAAAAAAAAAAAAAGTCATACATTCTGGATTCATTACAAATCAACTGAAATATTGCAAGCCTTTTATTATTTTAATATTGCTGATTATGGCATACAGCTTAAGAAAACTCAAATATCCTATCTCTAAATATTAGAATATCATGAAAAAGTATACTAGTAGGGTGTTCAACGAATCACTTGAATCTTCTAATTAACTCGAAACACCTGCAAGGGTTTCCTGAGCCTTGAAAAACACTCAGCTTGGTTCAGTAAACTAAATCACAAGTATGGGGAAGACTGCTGATCTGACTGCTGTCCAGAGGACCGTCATTGACACCCTCCATCAGGAGGGTAAGACACAAAAAGAAATTTCTCAAAGAGCAAGCTGTTCACAGAGTGCAGTTTCAAAGCACATCCACAAAAAGTCTGTTGGAAGGGGGAAATGTGGCAGGAAACGCTGCACAACCAAGAGAGATGACCGCAGCCTTAACAGCATTGTGAAGAAGAGTCGCTTCCAGAATTTGGGGGAGCTTCAAAGACAGTGGACTGAAGCTGGAGTCCAGGTATCAAAAGTCACTGTTCACAGACGTGTCCGGGAAATGGGCTACAATAGCCGTATTCCCATGGTCAAGCCACTTCTGAACTCAAGACAACGGAAGAGGCGTCTGACTTGGGCTAAGGAAAAGAAGCACTGGACAGTTGCACAGTGGTCCAAAGTCCTCTTTTCAGACGAAAGCAAGTTTTGTATTTCATTTGGAAGTCAAGGCGCCAGAGTCTGGAGAAAAGGCTGGAGAGGAGCAAAATCCAAGTTGCTTGAAATCCAGTGTGAAGTTCCCACAGTCAGCGATGGTTTGGGGAGCCATGTCAGCTGCTGGTGTTGGTCCACTGTGTTTCATCAAGCCCAGACGTAAATGCAGCTGTGTACCAAGAGATTTTAGAGCACTACATGCTTCCGTCTGCTGAAAAGCTCTATGGAGATGAGGAATTCATTTTCCAGCATGATCTGGCACCTGCCCACAGTGCCAAAACCACCAGTAACTGGTGTACTGACCATGGCATTACTGTCCTCGATTGGCCTGCAAATTCCCCTGACCTGAACCCCATAGAGAATATGTGGGGTATTGTGAAGAAGAAGCTGACAGACACCAGACCCAACAATGCTAATGAGCTAAAGGCCGCTATTGAAGCATCCTGGGCATCCATAACACCTCAGCAATGCCACAGGCTGATTGCCTCCATGCCACGCCGCATTGATGCAGTAATCCGTGCAAAAGGATTCCCAACCAAGTACTGAGTGCATTAATGGACATTTTCAAATGTTTGATTGTGTTTTGCTGTTATAAATCTTTTTTTTTTACTTGGTCTGAGGAACTATTCTAATTTTTTGAGATAGGATTTTTGAGTTTTCTTAAGCTGTATGCCATAATCAGCAATATTAAAATAATAAAAAGC